CCTGCTATCTCTATCTGATGAGAGGAAATAACCTCGAAACGCGTCATGGAGTGCAGTGGTTTCAGGCGGGCAACACCCAATTCGCTGCTGCTTCATCAGCTACGGTCCTAATTATCGAATGGCCAAGATTCACTTCAATGGGAATCGCGGTCCTCTTTGAGATTGCGCGTCGCAATCCATCCACACAACGTGTACTTCAAATTGCCTTTCCAATCTTCCAACTTTGTGTGTGCTTGCATACGAAACTTGGTAGTTTATGTTAGTGGGCACCACTCGTGGTGTGGATTCTGCAATGAATACAAGTCGCCGAATGCAATTCCTCCTCCTACGTGAACGAGTGTCGAAATAAGGTGAGCCCTCAAATTAATGTAAGCTGGAATCTACCATTTTTGGCTTAAATGTGCTGCAGGTGAGAACTACCCTTTATTGGTTGACTGATACTTAAGCGTCAAGTTCAATGTTAACCTGAATTCTTCCTTCATGTACACCGTTGGTTGCTCGTGCGTGTCCCACTCCAGACGACAATTGTGCATAACTCATTGCGCATTTAGTCACGCGCACATCATGCCGTTTTTTTGAGGAAATGGGTGCGGTATCATCTACATTCACTGGATGATTGGATAACCCAATACAGTGACTTTGCCCACCATGTGGTGATGTGTCTAGTGAGTGGGGCGCTTTGTTTATCTGATGTGTCCCACCCGTAATTATGCTGCAGCAACAGCCCTGAAATGACGTAGGATACAATTACATACATATACCTACTCATTAAACGTGGAATAAAGGAAATGTCTTCCCAGCATAAGCATGTTTGTACTAGGCATAACTATCTGAATTCAGTTCAGTTCAGTAAAACAACTCTGATCCGAGCATCAAAGTACTGTAGATCCAGTTGCCACGACTCACGTTGCAATAATAGCAATACGTAAGAACGGTAAGATAGCAGGACTAAAGACAAATCGAATGAAGAGCAAATGGAAGCAAGGAAGTGCGTTAAACAAAGAATGGAACAAAAATTAACAACCAACTGCAAGAATCCGAATGCAAGAACGCCACTGACTGCGCGACGCCGCCGTGTCTGCTACGGTCACCAACCATTGTTGTGGACCATTCTGAGGCACCCATCCCCGAACACGGCCTGAACCAGCCTGACCAAGTCTCCCAATCAATTTCCTCATGCTTCTATGCCGCATGATGGACTGACCATCTCGCGGTTTCTTCCAATTTGGTGCTGCCACGGCTCATAATGCATGCCGAGGAAGCCGGTCAACGGGCGTACGGAGGACATGGCCTAGCCAATGAAAGCGATTAAGATTCAGCAAACACTCGAATGATGCACCAGAAGGTTTCTTGCCTAGAACCAACTGGCGGATCTCAGCATTACTCTCCCGGTGTTCCGACTAAAAGTGAGCAATACTACGCAAGCACCAGTGGTCAAACACGGCCAAGCGTTTAACGTCTTCTCTGCGAACTGGGACCATCTGAGAAAAAGCACCGCTCGGTTTTTCCTGTGTGTGGCCAGAACTACAACCTACAAAAGTAGATGAATAATGGTTTGTTAGGGATTGCTACCAAGACCAAAAACGCTCCCTATGTTTGTTTGGGTGAAAATCAGAAATCAAAGAAGCCTGCCATCAAAAAAAATGTGTCGTCGAAATACCGTGGTGTTTCCTGATGACGGACGTAATCACACCTGCCTAACTTTTATGTTTGGTTGCGTTCTGCCGTCTCTCGATGAACTCAACTCCGCTCGTCTTTAACTAACGTTAATATGAAGGCAGAAAGAGTGTAATTCGGAAGAACATCCCACTGCTGTTGCCACCTTTATTAATATGGAGCATTCCGGCAATGTTCGCGTAGGCTGGATACTCCTCAGATTGGGTTGGGGCTGTTCCTCTGAAGCTGGCAGTTAATGTTGTTTAGGTCGTTAAAAATCTGGTACACCGATGCGTGATCACTCCATAAATACCGTTACCGAGCTAAATGGACTATTAATGCCTCCAGTCGAATTTCGTTTGAGTGAGGAAGTTGCCATTCCCTGTGGTGCCAGATATTCGGCAAACTCGTCTTTCCAACATGGCTTTCTGAACTGGATTGCGGATTCCAAACGTTTAAGCGCTATGAATATAAAGGAAAAAGCTGGGGTGAACAGATCTCAATACCGTGGAATATGCTTTTAACTGATCAGGCAGTCATGAGTTCAGCGGGGGCTGGGAACACTCGGTTGGTGTGTTTGCTGGGAAAGGTTCCACTTTTGATACGAAGGCTTCATCAGGCCAGTTGCATAAGCATGCAACTGCAGTGGCTCTGTATAGCGATCAGGGACGATTGTCGCGATAGGAGGGACGTAAGCCAAAGGATTATTGAGGTCACATATCAAAAGGTTACCTCAAACTGTCATGCCATATTGGGAATTGTCTTGGTGTTTGTTTGTGCATCATAGCCTTGACAGCTAAGCCCATATCGTTGACTAAGGAGAGTCAAGTTAGACTACCCAACCAAATCCGCGTTTCGACGCTCATCAGACTGGCCGGATTAGGATCCATTGCTACCATTCTATTCCAAATATTTATCGGATTTGACAATTTCCGGCGTCTCTGGAAGTTGCTCGCGAACCCTCCTAAAGATGTCAAGTGATGCTATTCCATTTGGTGCCCAGTATCTAGCGCAAGACCCGCTACGGCCGAGTCCCTTAATAATGCCCTATATTCAAACACATCCTTCAGTGGTCGCAAAGTGCTCCTTTTAAGTTCTGTAATCTGTGTGATCTTTCGCAGTCTTTAAATTTCCTTTCATGGACGCAATTCGTTGTTCTTTCCGTGGGCATAGGACCTTCTAATGCATCACCGCTGAACGTAGTCTTTGGTCCCATGTGAAGAACACATTTATGTTTACCTTGTGCAATGCACTCCGAGTTACCTCCGAAGCTATTTTCTTGTATGGAATTCTTACCGCCCCTATCCAATCCGTTGTTGGCCTAGACTGTTAGCCGAACACCCTGTAACTGGCGTTTGACTAACCACCGTGCGTAGTCACTCACCACCTCTTTTTGCGTAACTCTTCCGTTTCTCCACATCGAGCACAGTATCTGTGCCCTCTAGGACAGTGCTGATTGTGTCCTAGCGTAAATATATCTCAAATGACCTCTGAATGTAATGCAGTACAGCATCGGTACCAGCCGGTTTAGAGTATATTATCGTTTTCAACGTTTATCCATTTCTATGAACTAAGTAGTTAAGAAAGTTATGGTTCTAGCACAAGACTCCAACTCTGTGGTAAAATGTATGATCTGGTCAATGGCGTTTCAGTGGTTCGGCAACTCTTTCTTCTTATCCCACTTAACAACCATAAAATTTCGTATATTTAGCACCACCAAACTTCCACAGAGATCCGGGGTTTGTTAACGTTTTGTTCTCGAAATCGTCCGTAGATAGGTTTGCCAGCACAAGGGATATTGGCGGTCATATGAACAGACCCTATTCCTGGGTGTACAACTTCGACTAGAAAACGTAGTGGGAAATTCTAAAGCATGCTGCTATACCCCTTACTATTTGTCAATTATAAGTTTGGTTCTGTCACCCAAAGTGCTCTCCTCACCTAGACAACGTGTTGTTATTTCTAACTCTGATGAAATAAACATATGACATTGTCCTGGAAATCAATCAAACGACAACGGCCTCTTCATTCTGGTTGCAAGATATTCTTAACAATCTTACCTTTCGGTCAAAGGCACACTAGCGGCCGCACAACTTGTCGAAATGCAATGCTGTCATCTTCTCACCGCACAGGGGTAATCGATATGAACAGCTTCTCCAGCGATGCCCGAAATTCAACATCGATAGCGAGAGGTTGCACTTTAACACACTGGTAAAGTACTTGGGTGTTTTGCTAGGCTACGATTTATATGGGTCACATAAAAGAAACATTCACGATATTCCGGAGGTTTTCGTTCTACGCCTCTCGTCTGCGAGCTTCCTCTGTCCCCCATGATTTGATACTTCACTTTGTCACTGCTTGTAGTCTTCCACGCTGGACTTACTGCTCACCAGTAATTGTTCCTGGTCCATCGGAAAAGGAGTTCAGATTAATCACCAGGGCGTTAAAACACTTGTCGTGCTGTGGCGGTGCATCGAAGCTGACCGTGATATACTTGTATTCACTCATTTGGTTCTTGCAAGAGACTAGCCCCGACAGTACTTGTCGACACAAATCACTTCTTCCGTCAGGTATTATCTGAATGTGCTTCAACCAAGTCAACTAGATAGAAGTACGAATCCATATATGCCCATACACGAGCGTACCATTGGCCAATTCTCCCCTCCCTAGCGCGAATTTTGCTAGACCGAAACAAAGTCGTCCAAGAATTAACAAACCGGGTTATGCTGTGATGGTGTTATTCTTTTTCAATTATTAATACACCTCTATGAATTTCCTCCTGTATCGCTCAAAGCGTGTGTTACGTTTGAAAATTCACCCGTTCTGGGTGCATAAAGCACTTATTTCACTTGACTTGAGTAACTCTTCTCCATTAGGCACATTGGTAAAAAGTGAGATTACATCGAAATTTACCGTTTTTTTAAAATCTGGCTCGATGGCGAATCCGGCTATCTTTTTGTCAAAGGACTAGGAGTTCTTCACCAATGTATTTGTTCGCGCTGCCAGCGACTGTAATAGTTCAGCTAATTATCTAATAAGTTCGCGAGTCCTGCATCCTATAGCGTCGGTAGTAGGCCATATGGGAACTTGGTTTATGTATCCTTGGAGAAGAATCGATTTCAGGTATAGACTATAGCATTTCCCGGGTTCTAATTCATCTCGCACCCTTCTTGAATAATTACTGAACCATTCTTATTCATACCTGTAGTCACGACCTTGCCTTCAATTGCTTTACACAGGCCTACCTTCGTGGTGTTCCGATTTTTCAGATAAGCTAACATTTATTACTGTCATTGCTTTTCCTTATCGGTCTTCGTGATCACAATATTTCGATCCTTCTTCAGGGACCTTAACGCGATGCATGCAGTTGATGCAAGACTATGTGTCCGGTTGTTGACGTTTATGATATTCACTAACTGTGAACAAACGTTACCCACCTTTACAGTAAGTAACTTCGTCACCGCGATCTCAACACCAATGTTGATCTCTTCTACACATAGCTTGGCTTTATTCATAGTAAAATTGTGAACAATTTTCCGGCAATCTGCAATCTTATTCAGGATCCTAGCTGACATATTAACTAAAGTACAACAGCTGTGATTGTAGCCAAACCTGCCAATAGATCCACTGAGCTTGTACTACATAGTCATTAAAAGATCGAACTTGCGAATTTGCCTATCTTGTGAGTCCTGCCCTTGTTTCAACTTAACTTCTAAAGCCCGTCACGGTCGGTAAGCGTTACGGCGGTCCATAGATCTAGGTTCGGTCGATTTGCGTCGACGTGGATAGCACTTAAACGTCCGGTCACTAAGTAAATCCGTTGATTTAAAAGGTAGTTGGACACATTGAACGCAATCCTTGCAGAAGTGAATGTAGTGTTTGGGGTTTCACTTTGAGGGATTTGAGATATAGGATATTCTTAAGATCTGTTATGCTGCAAACACGATGAGTCTCCCAGCTCTCATCAAGGCCCACCAACCGAACGCATTCACTTGACAACTTTGGAATATGAGGACCGTACATGAGTTCAAAACACTGGCTGGGTCATTTGAGGCGACATTCCGACATGTGGTATCAATTATCCTTTGGCTCATTACTCTGTTATTGCGCTTATCTTCCCCGTTTGCTATAAAGTGCCGCTAAAAATTGCATACTGATTCACTTGGTTTGACGAATCTTATTTTTTCAGAAGCCAAGCGTTGTTCAACAAATACGCCAACCGTTTGCTCACAAACCTTTTTGAACTCGTCTAAACGCACTTTTGCATGATACGGACTTGTGGCTTCCCAGTTTTTACTCCTTTTGGTTGAAGAATAGAGAGACCTTCATCGAAACGCACCTCAAGGCCAGGCTTTGGGAAGACATTATTAAGCCGTAATCATCGAGGATATGCAAGTTATTTGGCTCAATACCATTTTACCCGGTAGGACACAAGGGGGTCACTTGGCGGTGATTCATAAGTATTGTTAGTTGCCTTTGGTGTAGTATATACTAATCTTATCCACACGCCCTACCATCCCCCGTGAAATGCAGTAGTTACAAAATCATCCCACGCACAGCTCTAAAAAGGGAGAAGTACATACCGTGTCAACACTGGACCAATTGGGAAAATTCGTTAGACGCTTAGTTGGTTGGGCGATCCATTCTGCAAACGTAGCTGCTCGTAAAGTCCTGGTATCAACCAGTAATTACCAATCGCTTGTTACTTTAGCCAAATCGGCTATAAGGCTCCAGAAAATGACCAAATCGAAGTGCGGTCTAATGCTGGAACTGTGCAGCAGCGAAGATGTTTCCACTTCATATAAACTTCAAATGCTCGGAATGATCAAGATTTGCCTCAAAGTAAGCTCTACATCAACGTGCAGATCATCATCAACGTCAACAATCACGTGAACTAGAGTTGGACAGCACCATAGCTATTGTGCATCAATACATTAGAACAAAAGCATGCAACAGAGGCAAGCCGGCGGAGTCACCAGTAACGGATGGACGTCGTTCTGGAGAGCTAACAGCCGGCTATTGTGTCGCAAAAAAGATGTACATTATGCATGATAAATGAGATTGTGGTTGGATGGGAGGCTGAGTGGGAGAGGGAGGAAAAAAATACTCACAACACCACGTCATTGAGGTCGGCTGCTCGCCATGTCAACAACTGGATCCAGCCAAACGTGTTCATCGTCCTTTGGTTCGCAACCAGGGAGCCGAAACGTTACAACCGACACCAAGTTCGAAGTAAGGTCCTTCATTCCTCTTGACCAAATCATCCTTTGGCCACCGCCCCTCTTCTTCCATTCACACCCCCTGCGTGCAAACAAAACACGTCGCTGGAGTCGGTGGGCTGGCATGCTTAAAACGTGGCCCAGCCATCGGAGCCTGGTGTGCAAAATTCTTAGAAGAAAAGGTCATGGTGTATTTCATGGGCAGATTACTGTCAGGTTTCCCAGGCCTAGACAGGAGATGAAGTCATGGAAACAGCTTTCGCTGGACATGACCTAGAAGGTGTGGAGCTACTTCCTGGTGAGCGACTTTTTGACTTGGAGTATGCGGACGACATTGCTCTCATATGTGACAGCGCCCAAACGTGCCAGGCTGCACTAGATCAATTAGCGTGGGCTGTCAATAGTTTTGGGCTTTACTTTTCTCCATCAAAATGCAAAGTTCTCCAAGTTTGGCAGGGACCCACCCCTGCGCTGACCCTGGGTAGTGGTCAACTAGAAGTCCTCCAAGAATTCAAGTACGTGGGCAGCTATATTAGCGCCTGTGGGATGGAAGATTAGGTTATGAACCCCATAGCAAAAGCTCGAGGTGCTTTTGCCAATCTCCGCCACTTGTGGCGCAGACGCGACATCACTCGCGTTCTGAAGGGCAGAGTTTATAACGCAACCGTCCGGTAAACCCTCTTGTACGGTTGTGAAGCCTCTCCCATCCGGTCGACAGACATAAGGTGGCTAGCCACCTTCGTTCGTCGCTGCTTCCGCAGCTTATCTCATGTCTGGTCGGAGCACAATCTCATTCGTTAGGCATAATATAACTTTTTGCGGCAAGATAGCCGGCTGTTAGCTCTCCAGAACCATGCCCATCCGTTACTGGGGACTCAGCTGTCGTGGCTCTGTTGTTTTTTCTCCTTTTCTGTTGTACTGCGGCACGATAGCTGAGGTGTTTTCCACTTGCAGCTAAAAAGTATAATGAACGAATATGATGAATGAATGGTGCTTTAATTAACGGTGCTGAACGGTTTGCTTATTCTTCCGGTGCCTTAAACAAGGCGTCGCATACGCTCATTGCTCACATAGTGTTCCAACCATTTGTGAGCCAAACTGCGAAGGCACCGGTGGTCGAACATAACTAGTCTCTTTATGTCCGCTGATCTAAGGGGCCAGGTTTCAGAACTGTACAGTAGGATGAAACATTTAACTTCATTATATACTCTACACTCCAGGGGGAGTGAGTGATGTCGCGCCGGCGGCATAAGTGCGATGGTTATCAAAAACACCTCGGGCTTTTACTATACAGTTCGTAATCTCATCTTCAATCCCACGGGCGCTGATACATCTTCCAATGTAATTGAATTTTTCAACGACATCTAGTTGATCCCACCAAGAGTCAGTGCAGGAGGCGGTCCATGCCAATCTTGGACGAAACCTTTACAGTTCGAAGGTGCAAAGCACAGCGCGAAACAGGCGACAGCCAGTGCTAATCTGCCCAGTGGGGCTTGGCACATTTGGGCGCTGTCAGAGATGTGGACAATATCGTCAGCATATCAATTTATAGATATTCTAAAATCCTGCACCAAATACCATAGGTATTCGTAGGTGGTGACTTTGTTGCTTTCATGCTGAACTATAACTCAGAAGCAAATCAAAAAATTTGGAGGTCTGCTTTGTCTAATAAATTCGCTACAAGACCAGGCTGATGAGTGACCAGTTGCAAGAAGATGGTCTAACTAACCCTTAGAGACCGAAGATTTATCAGTTACATTCGTAGTGCAAAGCGAAGCTGGTTTGCTCATATTAGGTTCCGAAGTTAATCGTATTCCGGAGCACCTACGACACTTCACTGATTGTGGTGGAGCGTGTATCGATGAGTGCTCCGTAAACTACCGGCTCATGTCCTGTTAATTTCGCCCTTTCAACCATTACCTTCCTTTCTACCCTGCCAATGTCACGTTGAACGCGTCCACCAGAGTATCTCGTGATTACTCCTCGATTCCTCGTGTCTAAGTACTAAGCTTAGCAATTTTTGTCAATCTATTCATCTGCTTTGTATCCTTATGATCAAGATAGTACGTCATCAGCAGTACGCCAATACGCAGTACCGATGTTTCGCTGCCGCGCAACCGCTACCAGTCTCACTTCGGCTAAGGATACTGCGAGAGTCGTCCGGTCTCTACGTAGGTTTGTGATACTTGTGGCTACGGGTCGGCGCTGGAGATGCACTAAGTACAGTTTCCGCGATATATCCGTATAATTCAAAGCAGTCACTTCACTTCAGCAATCTGGGCGGCCCGGTTAGAAAACGAAAGCTGGTGCATTTGTGCATTTCATATTGTCTACCCAATGCTGTCGAACATAACCAATATGAAATAGAATACTTGACAACGGATGTTACCAAGCAAGTCTGAGCAGCAGTGTAAATGACCGAAGTTCAGCCTCCATATCCATTGACAGAATTTCTCTTGCCGGCATCCACAGCTCCCATCCTATCTATGTGCCATAGATGTTGGCCTATTGCGACTCAGATAGTTAGCACAATTTCCTTTGTATTCAGTAAACTGGGTGATACTGTAAATTTACGAATTTTCAGGCTCTTTTTGTCATGACGCATCGCCAGCTGCAGCATCAAAGTGCGAGTAACATTGCGAACTATATGCAATTTTGAATGAAGAACTTCGCGCATGTTTTAGGAATTCACATAGGTTGTTTAAGTAGTCCGTCGCTGTGCACAATAGAAGACTGATTTGAGCCACTTGATAAGCGCTTTCCGCGGGACCACGGAATACCTCAGGATACGTTTTTACCACATTTTTATGGCGTATATTCGGTTGCGGCATAGAAGGGTTGTTACTTGTGACTGTGTTACATAACACCTAAATCAGGTCACGGCCCCATTGCTTCATCTGATCATGTTGACGCAGTTGTTGTTGAACCTTGAATTCATGCTACCAGGTCAGTTGACTGAATAATGATGAGCTGGGTGCAGATTTTGAGCACTCCAAGGTCTATTGCATTTTAAGGTCAAGCAAAGCCGGGCGGCAATTTTGGTGGCACAATGCACCGATATGAATCAGGCAAGCATGTGCTGACTGGTAGATGTACAGTCAGCTTCGATAGCCTCTGATGTTAGTTTATGCAAATGAAATGTTTGCTTACTTGCTCAGCACAGGAGTATCCAAACGGTCACTTTATAAGTCTTACTTCATTGGTGAACTTGCAGACAATGGGGAG